CAAGATCAAGGTGCTGGCAGATTTGGTATCCGGTAAGGGCTATTTTCTCTGCTTTTTTTTGAGCTCTGTCACCCAGGCTAGAGTGCAGTGGTGTGATCATAGCCCACTGCAACCTCCAACTCTTGGGCTCAAGCAATCCTCCTGCCCCAGCCTCCCAAGTAGGTGGGACTACAGACATGCACCACCACGCCCCACTCATTTTCCTATTTTTTTTTTGCAGAGATGGGACATCACTCTTGCTCAGGCTGGTCTCCGAACTCCTGGCCTCGAGCAATCCTCCTTCCTCTGCCTCCCAGAATGCTAGGATTACAGATGTGAGCCATGGAGCCCAGCCTATTTTCTCTACTTTTAAGATGGCACCTTGCTGCTGAGTCCTCACATGGCTGAAGGTGGAAGGGCACAAAGGGAGGAATGTTAGTTCCTTCCAGCCATTTTATACATCGTGAATCCCATTCATAAGGGCTCTACCAGGCCCTCATGACTTAATCACCTCCTGTAGGTCCCACTTCTTAATACCTTCACACTTACGATTAAGTTTCAACATATCAATTTTGGAGGGGACACAAATATTCAAACCATAGCATCTCCCTTTGGCTCTTTTGCCTTATTATTTTTTCCTTGTACTTTATTTGTTTAATGTTCTAAAATGTTCAAGTTCAGCTTACAAATTTTATTTTAAGTCTAATAAATTGTAGCAAGAATTTTTAAATGGTCTTGAGTAATGTTTGTTTCAATTTATAAAAGTAGTTAATTAAACACTGTCCAATATAAACATATGACTCTTTGGGATTGGGAAACTATAGCCTGTGGGCCCACAGTATTATTGGAAGTATTATTGGAACACGGTCATAAATGAATTGACTGCTTTCCCAACAGAATGGCAGACTTGAGTAGTTGTGACAGATACCTTCTGGCCCATAAAGCCTAAAATATTTACTATGTGGCCCTTTAAGAAAAAGTTTGCTGACCTCTGTGCAGTATTTATACATTTCATATAAATTTACAAATGTAATATATTTTGTTTCCTTTTCAGGTACTTCAGTTATCTAGCAATGTATCAATCTTCTTCAAATATTATCAATTCTTATAAAGCTAATCAATTACACTTAGAAATATGGTAAACTTTAGATTCTCTTAGATGTCCTGAAACTCTGCCTAAGCTTCATTAAGATTTCAGCTTAGGCC